TCTCTTCTGTTTACTAAAGTAAGTGACAGTAACTCTTTTATTAATAGTTGTTGATATACCTTTATTGTTTCTGTGATAAATATATCGATCTCTTATCAAGTTTGAGTGTTCTGTTTCTTCCCCGAGAAAGAAAGAGATTATGGGCTTTTAAACTATGCATGATGTAATTAAACCACTCTAGCTCTGAAGGTACTTCATCAAAAAGATATTTATCCGCCTACAAATAAATAATACAATGATTTTCTTCTCTCGTCGTGGTAGGATCATAAATTTTATGGTGAGAGAAACGGTGCATCATTCACCTGTTCACGAGACCAGATCTTTCCCTCTTCACCTTTGTGCAAACCTTGGAAAGCAAGAATATTAAGCAAGAATATTCACGTTCTTGGAAAGCAAGAACGTGAATATCACAATAAAACATTCTGTATATATACACTCAAAAGATCAAAATACTAGCTTATCAATCAACAAAACAAAACATTAAAACAGATTTCATTTCTTAACAATCGAAACGAAAAAGAATGCTCAAGATAGTGAGTTCCCAATAATAATTTTCGTTCACCCACTGAAAAAAATAATAAAAGTTCATGCAGGTTTCATTGTTTTTATAGAGTAAGTTGGAGTAATTCTGGACAACTTTTTTAAATTGTCACAGTATTTTGAGCGTACCCACTGAAGAAAATAATCAAAATTCATGCAGGATCCCGCAGAACTTTGCGCAGGATCCCGCGGGATTTGGGTATTAAAATATCTGGGGATGTTTCTTACCTTTACGCAGGGTTTTTATACTGCCGATCGTGACGGAACCCTGCATAGTTTATGTAGGGTTAGCATGGAAAAAATCCTGCGTAAAGGTAAGAAACATCGCCGGATATTTTGACACGCATAACCCGTAGGATTATTGTATAAGGTCCTGCAGTATGCTGCTTGAGTTTTATGGTGCTTTTCTCATCTTATTTTAAACGTATATGTTTAAAATATGATAGGTAAAGGCTTCTCATACGTCCAGAATTATGTGACATCTGTTTAACTATATGGCCATTGATAAATTTTTATTCAACGAACGGTAAGAAAAAAGAAAAGAAATACCATGGGCGGCCGAAAATGGAATTTCTTTGCTTTTCTTCTTGAAATATGGCCGCGGCCATATATAAAGTGAACGATAACTTCTATCAACGGTCACATCATATATTTTCTCACAAAGGCAAAGGAGAGCATTGTATTGATTAAAAGAGATGAGTGATAGAGTGTTCTAATGTTCGGATAGAAGAAGTTTTATAGTTCTATCCGCATGTGTGTTTGTTCCTGTTTCAGATAAATATCAAATAAACAAAAATGCCACAACGTATAACGAGGAAAGAAAAAGAAACGTTGTTGAAAAAACAAAGGTATGTTCTAATACGTGAACAAACTTATGAAGAAAGTATTTGCTTAATATCGCGTGATGAGATCGTACCACCATTGAAAGAAAATATATTTCAAATTGGAGAATTGATTAGTGTATCTGTACCAAATTCATATTGTGGGAAAGGCCATATTATTGCTGTATTTGGTAAGTCTAAAATCTGCCTTTGCTTCACGCCAACCAAATTCCGTTTGTTTTATTCTCCTATTTATTAGCAAACAAATCAGCCGGTTTAGATCGTTTAGCTGAACTACTAGAAGAACAAGATGTTAATGAAAGTGAAGAGGAGGAAACACACAAACCATCACAATCTGGTTCAGCTAGAAAAACAGTCAAACAAACGTTAATACAACACTCGAAAGAAAATATCGAACCTGCTCAATCGCCAAAACAGCAAGAAGAACCACAATCACAAAAAGGTCTTACGTTTATCGAACAACCTTCGGGTTCAAGTGATATACCAAAATACATACAAGTGAACTCTAAAAAACGTAAAGTATCAGCTGCAGATTCGCAAGATAAACAAAAAAACGATCCGATTCAAAATCTTTATCAAAACCGGATACAGTTCATACAATTCTACCTCATATTTTATCTTCGCCACCATTAATTAATACAATAACGATAATGGATGAAGAAGATGAGGTCAATAATGACGCAGAAGAAGCTGATTGTGAAACTAATCGGGAACCAAAAACAAGTACACCAAATCGTTCGCAACGAAATAAAGACGCAGCTAACATATCGTTTACGACAAAAAATGTTGAAGATTTATCGACTTCATTTTGGCAAAATAGAGTTGCTGATTTAGAGAAGAAATTGGTTAGTGAAACAAAAGCACACGGTGAAACCAAAAACGAACTTTTGCAATATAAAGCAGCTTCGATTGGTATGAATGTTTTTTTGCTCTTTCCTGCATATTCTTTACATCTTTTTCTGCTCTTTTGTCTTTACTGCAAAACTTCCAGGATCAATGATGTCTGTACGTTGTTCATTGATAATTTATCAAATAAACTAAATTTAAAACGCGGTGTTCAACTTGATAAAGAAGGAGAGGCCGAATTATTAGGATTAACGTTGGCTGAAGTTGAGGAATGTGTCGGAAAAACCCATAACGTCACAGGACGTAACTTGTTTTCGAAAGTTTTTCCGGATTTTAAAAGTCATCCAGTCAAATATGATATATGGCAACATAAAGACGATGAGGATCTCGCGAAGTTCGAAAAGATTTTTGGTAAAAGGAGGAATTAGAATATAATTGTATTCTAATCATACACTGCTTTATGTTTTGTTCTTTGTCCAGAATTTGGTGGCTCTTATTTTGGAATGACATGGAATAAAAGAGAAGTTAGAACATCCGTAATTGGACTGATGCGTGAATCAAAGAACAACATGATATTCAGAAGAAAAAAGAAAGATCTCAAAGTCAATCTTTAATTATATTTGGAACTGGTACTGATGGTCAACTACGAAGTGATCATGGTCCAACAAGTAGACCAGCAGCTATTGTTGATGATTAACGTCATCGACATCTTTCATCAGTGTAACACTGTAGTCGCCGAAGTGAAAAATGTATCGCTCGAAGAAAAGAAAATTTTTGTTTGTATCATTGATCGTTGTAGTATTTTTCATTAAACTTAGAAATATCTTTATTTGTCTGATCGTGTGTGTTGACGATTAAGAAGAAGGGTCAATGACGAAGCCAAAAATATGTGTCTGTTTTTTCCTATGTTACAGATATGACTAAACTGGAATCCACCGGTGAACATAACCTTCTCAATGTCAAAACTTTTATTTTTTCTCTCTTCTCTGTTACTAGGGAAAATTACATCAACCGTCCATGGATCTCGCTTACAACAAATGGAACTGTCCAACAACATCGATTTATTTAAAAGCACGTCTATTATTGCTAATTCACATTGTCAGCAATCAGTATTATCGGACTTTATCAATGAATTACAAGGATATGCAACTTCATCATCTCAAACAGCATCGTCAAAACCAGTAAACTTAACCAACACAGATAAGATACTGTTTGATGCATTATATCAAAACAATTATATAATTTATTCAAAATTATTTTATTCCGATGTTCAATATTCGTCGTGGTCTGCCTCAAAGCCAAAGACTTTCACTGATTCATGTGTTCTGTTTGCTAAAAATGCCGATACATTATCTTATCAATAATTTTATGTTTTGGTTTTTTACCTCCCACAATAAATTTTCGTATATATTTACTTCGACGCAGACTCCGTAACAACCCCTGCGAGCTACTACTTTTTACCTTCACAATAAAATCCTATAGATCTTGCAGGGTTTGCGTAATGAGATATTTTGTATATTACAAGTGATAACAGAAAGGAAAAAACTTCGCAGGGTATGCAGAGTAAAAAATGTGCAAGATACATCCAATGAACGCATGTAAAAGCTCCTGCAGGGTATGCCTGGAAAAGAATCCTCCAGGATCCTCCGCGAAAAAAACTTAAAAAGTGAGCCTGTTAAAGAATCCTGTCAATTATACTTACCAACTTGCAGCAAAAGTTTCGGCGAGGTAACGTGATGTAAAAACCTGCAGTATATTTCTAACATTCACAGGACTTTTTGAGATTCCTGCGTGTCGGCGCAGGAATTCGTAAATATTTTTCACTGGA